CCCCCATCAACCTTCAACGTTGATCCCCATCAACCTTCAACGTTGACCCCCATCAACCTTCAACATTGACCCCCATCAACCTTCAACGTTGACCCCCATCAACCTTCAACATTGACCCCCCATCAACCTCCAACATTGACCCATATAAACATTCAACGTTGACCCCTCATCAGCATTCAACATTGACCCTTATCAACATTCAACGTTGACCCCCCATCAACATTCAACATTGACCCCCCATCAACATTCAACATTGACCCCATCAACATTCAAAATTGACCCCATGAACATTCAACATTGACTCCCATCAACACTCAACTCTCCTCGATTTTAAACTTAAGAAACCTGCTCAACATATTGGACTATTCTACAGCTACGTTGCCCATCAACCCTTCAACAACTATGTTGCTACATTCATCTACAGATACGTTGCTAATAATAACGATGAAAAAAAATATACTAGCAATACTTAACATATCAAAGATTTTAGCAGATTAAAATTGTTTCGCTTTCAGTCAAATAAAACAAAAGTTGCCATCGTTGTTTTAACGAATCCCATTTAGAAATAATACTTTTTTTTATCATGCTCACCTACTGAACACACGTTCACCGGCTGTGTTGTGCAGCTATGGGGAATCTTTTTTTGTATATTTGATGCTCCGGTGTAACAGAGCGTGACATGATGACTCTGGCTTATTTTTATATAGAGAACTAACCGTTCAAATAATGGCAGCGGCGATACGTGAACTTCCCATTTACTTAAGTTAGTTGACAAAACATACCTTCAAGGAACGCACTTTTTAAGAATCCCAATTAGAACAAATTTCTGGGAATTTTATTGAGCTCGCTTATTGAACTACATACCTATAAAATTATAATTTTCTTTTATATTTTGTGGAATCTTGTCAGCTTAACGTGATGCTCAAAACAAATCCGTCATTAAAAAACACACCTACATTTATTGCAGGCAATAATTATGATTGTTTCGTTTCTTTTTCAATAAAAATTCACATCGTCATTTTTACGCATTAGGTTTCTGTGTTGTCAGAGGCTGCTGCGGCTGCTGGGTCGCCAGAGGCTTCTGAGTCGTCAGAGGCTGCTGCGGCTGCTGGGTCGCCAGAGGCTTCTGGGTCGTCAGAGGCTGCTGCGGCTGCTGGGTCGCCAGAGGCTTCTGGGTCGTCAGAGGCTGCTGCGGCTGCTGGGTTCCCAGAGGCTTCTGGGTCGTCAGAGGCTGCTGGGTCGCCAGAGGCTTCTGGGTCGTCAGAGGCTGCTGCTGCTGCTGGGTTCCCAGAGGCTTCTGAGTTGTTAGAGGTTGCTGGTTTGGCTGAAAGGTGGGTTGCACAGTTACCTTAACAGCGGCACTTCTAACAATGAGGTGTTCCAAAGTTTCCAGCAAAATTGTCCAATACCTAAGAATAAAATTTAAAACAATAATAATCATTAGCTGTGGGACATGCGATGAAAAATCCAACTTACAATTTTAAAAATTTTAAAGTTCACACGGATTTTTTAAAATGTGACTTGACAATAAAATAATAATACTTTTAAAAAGCCATATCTTTGCGACTATTTTAAAAACAATCACCAATCGAAGCAAAGGTTTTATACCAATGGGCGTCATGTGGCTATAATCTGTGACGTCTCTAATGGGCGGCATGTGGCTATAATCTGTGACGTCTCTAATGGGCGGCATGTGGCCATAATCTGTGACGTCTCTAATGGGCGGCATGTAATAATAATCTGTGACATCTCTGGTGGACGTCATGTAATAATAATCTGTGACGTCTCTGGTGGACGTTCTGTGACGTCTCTGGTGGACGTCATGTAATAATAATCTGTGACATCTCTGGTGGACATCATGTAATAATAATCTGTAACGTCTCTAATGGGCGGTATGTAATAATAATCTGTGACGTCTCTGATGGATGTCATGTAATAATAATCTGTAACGTCTCTGGTGGACGGCATGTAATAATAATCTGTAACGTCTCTGGTGGACGTCATGTAATAATAATCTGTAACGTCTCTGGTGGACGGCATGTAATAATAATATATGACGTCTCTGGTGGACGGCATGTAATAATAATATGTGACGTCTCTGGTGGACGTCATGTAATAATAATCTGTAACGTCTCTAATGGGCGGTATGTAATAATAATCTGTGACATCTCTGATGGACGTCATGTAATAATAATCTGTGACGTCTCTGGTGGACGGCGTGTAATAATAATCTGTAACGTCTCTGGTGGACGGCGTGTAATAATAATCTGTAACGTCTCTGGTGGACGGCATGTAACAATAATCTTTAACGTCTCAGGTGGACGTCATGTAATAATAATGGACGGCATGTTACAACAATATATTAAGTCTCGAGTGGACAGCATGTAGTAATAACCTGTAACGTCTCTGCTGGTTGGCACGTAGCACTATAATCTAAATTGTCTCAACCATTAACATTATTTCTACCCCAACATTCTTTTTTTTTTTTAAGCAGCGAAGGAACGCTACAACGGTATGGCTGCAACAATTTCCTGTACTATTTTTGATGAGCAGAAATAACCATGATGGTTATTAGGATGGGTGCCATGGTTGACCATCCTGTTCGTGTCTAAAACATATTTTAAGGTCGGACATAACTATGGAAGTTGCCTATGGTAGTTCGTCAAACCTAGACCGGAAACTAAGGGCAACCGTTTTTTTTTTTTATTAAACGCGTCTGCTCTGAGAGCCCTGCGTGCTCATTGGAAAATGACAATTCATTTCTGATATTTCAAACAATTCTTAGAATTAATAGAGGAAAATTTAAATCTTTACTAGTTTGGGATTTTTACTGGTAAAAACCTACATTTGATATGTTTGGTAAGCTATTTAGTATATCAACGGGGCGCAATGAGCGGGGGCTCCTACAAGGATTCCTTTTGAAAGGGTTGCAAAAATGCAAGGGCCATGTAAATCAATACAATTTTTAAGCTATCTCTTTTCTTTTCTTAAAAAAAAAAGGAAATCGCTTTTTATTATAGACGTAATGACTCATGGGCAATATTTTAATTCTCAAGCCCATGAGCCATTTATCCTAGTCGCGTCACTCGACATACAGTGAAGATTTAAGTTTTTTACCGGACAAACTCGAAGTAAGACACGATGCCGTCAGAGGTGCTGTCCATCAGGCTGAAGAAGTTGTCGAAGTCGTGGTGGTCCAGCTGGTGGTCGCCGTCAACGTCGTAGATGTCGTAGAAGGCGTCGTGCAGCGGGACGAGCGACGGCGTGTGGCTGTTGACGTAGTTGGTGTACTCCTGTCGGCTGACCCGTCCGTTGTTGTTGGTGTCGTACGTCTGGAACACACACACAAAATAATTTAAAAAAATAAAGATTCTCATTGTAATACAAAAGTAGCTGCATTACTATGATGATGATGATGATGATGATGATGACAATGATGATGATGACGACTGCCTACTTTTACAGCACTTGTGTCCATGCTATTTTAGCATGCTCACAGCGCTCTGATGTCCTAACATATAGTTAAGAATAAAAGTCTTCGGTAATGGTTCTTACATGACCTGTTATCATTTTAAACGTCCCGCAAAGATTGAGGCCAAGCCGTTCAACAATTTAGGCTTAATATCTTGAAAAATGCGCGCTCTGTATGACTTCTTTCTGAGTCCATCCACACTGGGAACTCTTAGTAAGGACCGTGGTGAAGAGCGCAGGTTCTGAATGGGTACATGTTGAGAAATTGTGAGCGCTCTTCGTTTTCTCTCAAGGTGAATCTCTAGACCCCCAAGACAGCCGCAACGATCTCAGCGAGTCATCATCATCATGTCCCCTAGTCCTTGGACCGTTGGGCCGCCACAGATGACATGAAAACTATCCTCTTCCCTTCCTCTCTGTTTTCCGCACTTCGCACAGCATCGCCCAGCTTTAGTCCCTTGCCACTCTTTGATGTTATCTTCCCAGCTTTTTCTCTGTCTTCCTCTTCTTCTCCCTCCTCTCGTTGTGCCCTGTTTGATTTCTTTGGCGATCCCTTGTTTTCTTGTCACGTGGCCATACCATTCCAGTTTGCGCTTTTTTTTTTTTGACAGTCACCAGGAGGCAATCATATTGCCCAGCGGCTTGACGAATCCTTTCTTTCCCTTGTTCGTTAGAGACATGGTCTTTGTATACAGATGCCAAGAATCAGCAAGTACTCAACGTATAGTTGTAATGCTGAAATATTTTCAGTCATGAAGTAATCCCGGCTACGTCGGTACAATGACTGGCGTCTGTCGTATGGCACCTTATCATCCACCGGCGTGGCAATAGATTTCTAGCATTGAGTTGTGCGGCAGTGAAGAGGAATGATGCACTTAACAGAGTCGCAATGTTTTCATCCTACACCATCATAACTATGTACCGATATGTGCATGTTCAAAATAAAATTAAAACGTCTTTGATATCTATAAGGCATGGTACGCCTGTTTTTGTGTCAAGGGCATAAAACCTGATGATTAACAAATACACAGGAAGTGATGAGATCCACTCACTCATAATACACATCTCAAACCTGGTACTCAAGAATCTCACAGCTTGAGGGAACACGTATACTTTCAGAAAACGCACCCAAAAACTTGTTCTAAGTAGAATTCCAGGAGGGGCACTAATCTGCATTCGGGGGTTGGGGAAAGGGGGGGGGGGCAATGGGAATTAATTAACACAAAGAAGCCCTATATTTCACCTTGAAGTTGAGGTCCAGTTCCGGCCTGTCGATGTCGCCACTGACGTCCAAGTCGATGTTCAAGAACAAGGCCGCCGCCGTCAGGTTGTAGGGCTTCAAGTTGATGCCGTAGGTCACACCGGGCAGTAGCAGCACGAGGGCGTAGAGGAGAGAGGTCATCTTGCAAACAGTAGCCGGACCTGAAAGTGACAAAGTGTTGTTTGCACTATGATCTCCATGTTGTTGTTGCTGTTTTTGTTAAAATAAAAATTGACGTTAAAATCAGGTGTCGGTCCACCAGGACACTCCAGACCCTGCCCGACCCTGCAACAAATATATGTCTGTCCACAATTGAAACAGGTAACAAAATTGTCAATGGACATGATGACCCAATGTATCTATTTCTGTCAGCGAGATTCTTTTACAACAGCGGTTCTCAGCCTGCACTCCGCGACCTTCAAATCGAGGGGCTTCACGACCGCTGCAGGAACAAAATTAACACCATTTAAATTGTATTAAAATGTAAATGCCTTAGGAGCGCCCCAATGGAAACTGATTTTAAAAAGAGCTATGCAAGTCAAAAATGTTGGGAACCACTGTCTACAAGGTTTTTATGCGTGAGGAAGAGATTATTACAATAAAAGCCTCATTTAGTTCTTCTCAAACTATCCGCAAAAAACAACGGCCTAAGTTGCAAAACAAAATATTTATTGCAAAAAAAAATTACCTTAAAACTTTCAAGGAGGAAATACTACCGTTTGTTCTGTTAATAATTAACACGCAATCAGAGAATTTTCTTCGTGGCTCCCACAGCCCAAAGTATATTTCTAATCGATAATTACCACAAAAGAAACGTGCTAAGAATGGTATGGGTATTGTAACATCATATTTGCTGTTCCTTTACTAACTAACATACATATTCTGGTGAAGGTCTGAGATTGCTCTCTTATGACCCCGGCTAGTACATTGGCTACCAGCTCCATCTGTTGAGCTGAGCCATACAACATTTTTGCCCCACAAAAGGCTCTACAACCGCCCTGGCTTCCCCCGGGACATCTAGTGAGGGACATTCGGTCAACAGGTACGCTAGTGTCTCCGGGACCAGGCTGCAATGCCGGCTGTTCATTTACTGCTGAGTGAGAAGCACACGTTCACGTGAGCGTAGTGGTATGTGCATCTAAGTTTAGAGAGTAAGGGAAATACTTGAGCGGCCATATTGTTATACATGAAAAAGGCTCTTCAGAAGATATTTGCCTCACGAGGAGAAGGATATAATGCTTGAGTGACTTCACATGCCTCTTTCTAGAGGGAAATAGATTTATTATGAGCTGTATTCAATCGTCGCTCCATTGGTGGCGTCATGTGTGAATTTTCGGTTACCCCGTCAAGCGTTTATGTCAATAAGGAAGTGACAGGTCAAGATTTGGACTTCCTGTTATTTACTACATGGGCATGCGAGAAACAATAATTAGTTAACACCTTTATGGTATCCACTTAAATAATCCGCTCAGGTCATGACAAGTTATAATATATAATAGTAACACAAGACGTTACAATGATATCGGGCATAGAGAAAAGTTACAGGTATGTTCATAGAGATATTATATATTAGATTAGGTAATCCACATTTTCATAGTCTTAACTTAACAATTGAGACGTAATACTTAAAAAAAAAAAATTTTTAACATTGATATTACTAATTTTAGATATATATAAGTTAAGCAACCTTCATTTCTGGTCAATTATCCCCCCCCCTCCTCTTCTATTTTCTCATCTATGCGCAATATCTGTTCCAATACGAATTTATATGGACAATGTTTTACTGTTTGTCTTTTTTTTTTATAGTCCAAGATTAATATTTTGTTTCGTTCCTACTTTAAAACTTTTTAAAATTTATTTTTTTTATAATTTATATTATGTTGAAATTTTTTTTTTTTAAATATCTTCAAGAAACAAAAAAAAACAAAAAACAAAAAAAAAACAAAAAGGAAATTTTGAATTGGTAACTCACCAGGTTTTAATTGAAACACTACGAAATTTTATTGTAATTGTCCTATAAGTAGCANAAAAAAAAGAAGAGAATTCCATGTCACAGGTTGCCCTTCATTTTGTTTTATTCTTTTTTAAAAAGTTTATGTAAATTTGTCGAAATAAATTCTGACCAGACTGGGCTTTAAATATTTCCATGATAAATAAAGCAAATGAACTATTACACATTTGATTATGGTTATTTATATATTTTTCAATCTTAAATAAAAATAAAAAACACTGGATAATAAAAAATGATTAATTTTTTTTTTTTTACATTTCAACAATTTAATAAAAAAAAAAAACAAAAACAAAAAAAACAACAACTGGGAACCCAGATTTTAAAATTTACAAAGGCAAATACGTAATCAAAATATAAAAAGAAGTTTATAATGAGGACATGATTTAAGACGTAGTATTTAAAAATAAATAAAGTGATATCTTCTAGTAGTTGGTCCGAGTTTCAACCGACACATCTATGAAGCAAAGTAGAGAGGCCAATGCTGTTCACCACACTTTTCATGCAACTGGTGTAGCGAGAATATCATGTCCATGGTTGAACGACGACTTCGCAAACCACTCTGGGGCTCTAGGTTGGTGGGTTAGCCTCGGAGAGAAATATCTCAGTAATTATTACAATAGCTGCGGTCAAATTTGTTTGTACGATGTTAGGTTGTGTGGCATCTCTCGTGTCCTGGGGAATGTGACCTGCTTCCCAGCACAGACAGAGGAGCTCATGTAAGGGCTGAAGTAATGTTATAGGCTTTTCCGTTTTTTGGGGGACTATGGGAGGAGTGCCATCAACACCCGGAGCCTTTGCACCAGCAAAGTTCAATTGCTTGTTCGAGGTCCGACAATGTTTGCTCTTCACATACTTCTTCCATTATTGATAAGACGAGGATAGTATCCAGGAATCTAGTGCTGTCTCAGTGACTCCCTTCATTGCTGTACGTATAGTTTAAGATACTGCTCAACCCAACGCCGAATGGGATCGTTTGGGTTTATGATAAACTTGATCTGTTTTGGATTTGTGGTGTGTGATTTTCTAAAGCATGTGTACCTAATGCCCTCTTGGTACCCTCAAAAATGCCCCTCGCATCCCATTTGCCGGAAGCCAATGAATGCAGTGGCAAAAGTCCAACCAGTGAGTGTTGGCGCAATGGCGGGCAGTCGGCTTGGATATTTTCTTTGCAGTCATGTGATTCTAAAGTGTACGATAGCCAGGTACGCCCTTATAGGCAAGTGGAGCTCTTCTCTTTGTCTTAATCACGCGTTCCATCTCTTTCAAATCCGCCTCGTACCGGTCAGTATTTTATGTTCATTTTCCCCCATAGACCGAGACCGCTTAATCGTACACAGCATCTTGTAGATGAGTCCACTTGAAGTCGATAGTGTCAACTGGTGACCATTTCGCAATAGAATCTTCCAATCCATCTATCTTTTTCTAACTTTAAGAGACGACTTTCTTTCTCATGTGCGTAGTGTTGACTGTGTAGTGTTGAGTGTGCAGTGGTGACTGCGTAGTGTTGACTGTGTAGTGTTGACTGTGTAGTGTAGTTTATTATTAGATCGAACAGGATCTTGATCAGATCTAGACTAATATAAAGAGTTAGTGATTTAATTGGTAAACAGGCAGCTAGGAACTAGGTACATGATGACACATATTGAGGAACGAGGACGGTCCATGACGACACACATTGAGGAACAAGGACGGTTCATGATGACACACATTGAGGAATGAGGACGGTCCATGACGACACACAATGAGGAACAAGGATGGTCCATGACGACACACATTGAGGAACGAAGATGGTCCATGACGACACACATTGAGGAACGACGACGGTTCATGAAGACACACGGCCCGGCAAAACTGTCACAGCAGTCAAACAACAATGCAAAAAAAATGCTCGATAACACACGGCCAGGAATATTATCATTGAAAACACAAATCAATGAAGGAAGCCATTAAAGACACACATCAACAAACAAAGTCACTGAAGACACACATCAACAAACAAAGTCACTGAAGACACACATCAATGAACAAAGTCATTGAAGACACACATAAATGAACAAAGTCATTGAAGACACACATCAAAAAACAAAGTCATTGAAGACACACATCAATGAACAAAGTCATTGAAGACACACATCAATGAACAAAGTCATCGAAGACACACATCAATGAACAAAGTTATTGAAGATACACATCAGTGAACAAAGTCATTGAAGACACACATCAATGAGCTAAGTTGTGAAGACACACATCAATGAACAAAGTCATTGAAGACACACATCAACGAACAAAGTCATTAAAGACACACATCAATTACCAAAGTCATCGAAGACACACATCAATGCACTAAGTTATTGAAGACACAATTCAACGAACAAAGTCTTTGAAGACACACGGCCAGGACAAAAAAATTCATTCACGACACACGACCATGATTAAGGTCATTGACGACACACGTAAGCGAGGAGCAGGATTGCGCTGACCAAAACGAAAAATATGTGTCCGACAAAAGGCACGAAACGCAAACGTGATTGTGCAATCTGTGTCAACTGACATTGCAAGCAACACGATGTGCACAGCACAACAACAATCTTTAACGTCTGCTTAGGTATCCCAGAGTACGGCACGTGGTGGCAGATCTGCCCGTGGACACATGAGGCGCCGCGTACGATCTAGTGGAAGCGAGAAAACCAAGCCAAAAAGGTAGGACTCGTTATTACCGTTTTATTTTTAAAACGGGGTTCAAGATATTTTTTTGTTCCAGAAGAATACGTGGGGTGTATGCATTACCACATGTGTAAGCCATAACACAGGTGTAATTAATAACACGCGTGTAACCACTAACACTAGTGTAACCAATAACACAGGTGTAACAAATAACATAGTTGTAACCAAGATAGTGTGTTAAGTTTTTCTATTATAAATGTTTATAATACATTATTTATTAGTTTTTTAAACATCAATTTATATCAAGTTATATATATATATATATATATATATATATAATTTGTATATTACTTGCAGCGTCATGACGTATTTCTACTTCTGTCTGGTTTTCTTGCCGGCCTTGACCTGGGCCCAGATTGACCTCAAGCCGTACAACCTCACAGCCACGGCGCTGTTCCTCAACTTTGACGCCGACTTGAACGGAGACATCGACAGATCTGAACTCGACCGAAGTTTTCTGGTAAAATCACACTGCACATTTTCTTTCCAGAAGTTGAAAAAAATTCTGACTATAGGGTGTTGATCTTGGGTCCGGAAGATAAAACTAGCTGTATTGTGTACTATAATCTTAGTCCACCCAGTGACGTACCTGGAGTTAGTCTTATCTGCTGAAGAAATCTCTGAGCCGAAACGACTTTCTCTTCAACGTTCGATCCAGCGCCCAATAGTCTTTGAGACCAGTTCATGATCGGCCAAGGCACACTCTGGCTTCCTACGTGTGTCCTTTAACATAATCCAGCAGCAGGGTTTGTCATTTAATGGCGGAAATCTATTAAGAGAACTTAAGATATTTATAAAAACATCCTGGTATTCTGTTTGGCCAAGCTCTCAATATCTGTTCGGTACCCCGCGGTAATGTGAGCCTTAGCCTAAACGAATTTTTTTTATGGTTGGGGGTCACCACAACAAGAGGAACTGTATTAAAGGGTCGCGGCATTTAGAAGGTTGAGATCCCCTGTTCTAGAGGCACAAAAAAATGAACCATTGCCATTTGTAGATTTAGTTGGGCATGCAAGATAACTAATGTGGATCTCAAGTCCTAAGGTGGGGGGGGGGGGATCTGACTGTTTAGGGCTTTTTTTTGTTTTTGGGGGTCAGTGCCATTTGTAGATTTAGGTGGGGATGCAAGATAACTAATGTGGAACCCAAGGCCTAAGGGGGGGGGGGGGGGTTAGGCGAATGGGGTTTGCCCTAGGGGTGGTCCCGGAGACACCCCCATTACCCTCTGTTCTTGTCACGCTATTGCTCATTAAATCTAAAACAGCAACACACATACACACACTGCCATATTCACATAACCATACACACATATCAAAACACACACAGCCCTACACACGCAGCCCTACACACACAGCCCTACACACATCCCTAAACACACAGCCCTACACACACAGCCCTACACACAAAGCCCTACACACAAAGCCCTACACACACAGCCACACACACACACACCACAGCCCCACACTTGACCTGTCTATACCCACACAGTACTATGACGAGGACCGCAACGGCCGCGTCAGCCGCCACGAGTACACCGACTACATCGACCTCCACACCCCCGCCCTACACTCCATCTCCCACGCCCTGTACGACGTCTACGACGTGGACAGCGACCACCAGCTGGACCACCACGACTTCGAGAACTTCTTCAGCCTGATGGACGGCAACGACAACGGTGTGGTCAGCCACGAGGAGTTTGTCCGGTGAGACGCGCGCTGCAACCCATGTTCTGTGTTTGTGCTGTGTCTAGAATAGTATGTTAATGATACTGGTCAAGATAGGTCATCAGTTACACAATTTAGTTAGTTATTTAATATATATATATATATATATATATATATATATATATATATATATATATATATATATATATATATATATATATATAT